ATACATTAGAAATTTTGTTAAAAACAAAAATAGTTATTATTAGCTTATTATATTAAATGATCTAACAAATAAAACGATACTCGTAATAAAAATATTTTTTTTAGTTGTAATAGGAAAACTAAATACCATTTAATATTTACATATTTATTTTGATATACTTCTATTTTTATTATTTACAATCATTATTGGAAAGTATATTATATAATTAGAATCTTATTTAGTTTATTTCTATACAAAATTACATTTTATATATTATATGCTAATTGTACTGCAATTCTTCATGTACAAGATCTTTTTGATAGAATGACCAGCATAATCGTACCAGTGACAATGTCAATAATTTAAACTGATATAACTTGCAAGAAAACATCACACAATGGTCTCTATTTGGTCTCCTTTTAAAGCGTGAAGCCTCTAATTTGACAATTGATCATTGGAGGTAGATGACGAAGATTTCTTGAATTTTTATCGTTCAATCCTGATACTCATAAAATTGTGGGAAAAAATCGCACAAGAAGTTTCAAGGGTACGTTGTAAAGAGAAAATTTCGATCTTCAAGATTGTAGTAAATTTAGTCGTGAAAAAAAATTTTTAACGTTTAAATACAGCCTTCACGTTTTTGAAGATAATACCAAGTTAATTGTACGATCTTTTCTTACGAAGTTACATCAATTTAACAAATTATCGAGAATTTTTCATCGTTATGCTAGTTACCGTACGTGTATAAAATTATAGGTAGGCATTATCAATGAATATCACAAAATAAAAATACCATAAAACACGATTTAGAAATGCGCATATAATTAATACATTACAAAGGTTTAATTATTTTTAAGATGGACTTCGAATATTCCCAGGCTTCACTGTAAAAATGAATAATTAATTTAAAATATACGAAAATTTAAATTTATACTTTACTAATAAATTTGATATGTTTCATGTATAAAAATAACTCGTTATCGATACGCAAAATTCGAAATAGCAGACGTATCTAAGATTATTTATTCACTTGTTAGAACTATCATAACTTTGGAAATAAAAAGATTTGCTTATTTAACAAAGGATTTACTTACTTATGTGCTGGATTTGCTTGATCCAGTTGTTCACTAAGTTGTTGAATAAGCGTAGCAAACATTTTGAGATGTTCTATCGTCTCACCTTGCAACCAAGCACGAGGAAGCGTACTCATTACCTATCGTATAAAAACATTTGTAGTATCTTCCAAGTAACGTCTACTTAAAAAAGTTTAAAAAAGTTATTGAAACAAATATAAATGAACATACCATATTCGCTTTAAACAACGCATCAGTTGGAACAGATACTCTCAAGCCTGCTAAAAGATATCGATTTAACAACGAACCAAGAGCTAGATTTTTTAATCGCGCGTCTCCGAGAAGACCCTGCCAGCTTAATAAATTTCTTAAAAGTTTCACAGCCATGGAAAACTGTCTTTGAAAAAATTGATGTTTGGTATCTAAGACTCTGAAATATAAAGTAAAAAATTATCAACATTATAAAAATATTATTAATCGCTTCAAACGAAAATAAACATTATATGTACTAACTGTTTTGGAAAAATTGGTATAAAAACGTCATTTTCAACTGCCGATTTAATTTTTTCCAGTATAGCATTAAATAATGTTTCCAATGGTTTGCTCGTATCATTTAAATTTGGATATTCCCTGATAAGACGATTTACCGTGCCTACAAGTCGTAATGTTTGCGACGTGGACATTGGATCCCAAATTCTTTCGACTATAGCTGTAAATAAAAATAACGTTGTAAATTATTACAAAATTTTTAATCACAGCGTTTTAATCACAGCAAACGAAATAACTTTACATGTCAGTTTAGGTATAACAATTTTTTCTACCGCGAATGGTACTAATCTGACATCTGGATCTCTTTTCAGCGACTCCTCTGTTTCCTTATTATTCAACGCATATAGAAGTAAAGTATTATACCATTTTGTTCTCTCTATATCTGCACTTTCCTAAAGATAAAAAAATTTTTATTCGCAGTTTCATATTTTACTTCGACAGTGTTATACTTATGGCTAAAATATATGCAAGCTCGACGCAACGAAAGTACCATAATAGGATTCCACGTCAATAGTTGTAATCTGATAATTGGAGAAATGATTTTAGGTATACACAAAGATACGTAAGCTTCCATGTAAGCGTCTCTATCAGTTTCTCTCCAAGATTCTAGTTTCGAAAGTATTCCTCTCATCGTACAGTACTCATCCATGACGTCAGAAAATATTTCTTTACTTTCACTATCAATTTCATCTGAAAACAAACAAAAAAGAAAAAAAAAA